AGGTTCCTGGAGCTTACACTAAAATCCTAAAATCTCGGGGGAGAAAATACCTTAAAAGTTTTCAAACCTGCTCCAAACCACCAACATGCCCCGCCTATGCTTGCATCTCCTTTGGACTGTCCCTGTCAAGGTCACCGGTCTATGCCTAAACATCTTCGACGATGGGGAACGTGCCCCCTCCCCAGGCAGAAGCACGCTCCCGAAATCTCCAGCTGGCCCCACTGAGGACCCTGCTGGCATCCCTCCCCACCCGGCCTCGGCAGAGCCTGGGGCAAGGGAGTCAACAGAGCATCAGATGCACTGTGAGAATGTGCAGGTTTTATTGTATATCAACACAAAACAGAAGGAGGCCTCGCTAGTTCTGCTCGTTCTGAGCCAATGACCTGGGACCAAAGGAAACAAGCAGGCCCCGTGCTCACCTGTCCAGAGCTCCCAGGTCCCTCAGCCTCTGCCGCCGGCACTGCCCTGCTCGCTTCCCTCCCAGAAGCCTCTGGCAGTGGTCCCCAGGGCGTGCCCTCGCTGGCCCCCACTTCTCTCCTGCTGTCCCTTCCAACCAGGCCTCCCTCCCCCAGACCTGAGCCACCTGCAAGGGGGCGGGTGGGGGGCGGGTGCTGGCAAGGCAGAAGGGAAGCTCACCCCGAGGACTGAGAGCTGCTCTTGGAGAAGCCAGGCCAGGACGGGTGTCAAGGAGGACCCGGAAGCAAAGGATCCCTGCCTGGCAGGGATCTGGGGATGCCAGGTCCTGGACCCTGGAAGCAGCCACTTTGGCCCAGGTCCCCGAGCTCTGGGACCTGGAGGGGCCTTCCCCTTCCCCACGTGTCACCACGGTGGGCGGCTGAGGCCTTGCAGCCCTGTGGGCGGCAGCCGGGGAGCCGCATTTCCAAAGGAATACAAGCCGGCAGGAGGGCCAGATGGAAGCAATTACGGGGGGAATCGGGAGAGGTGGGGGCCAGGAGGGGCGGGGAGGGAGAGAGGAGAGCCCTGCCCCGCCTGACCACAGAGGGCTGACAAGCAAAGCGCCTGCACTCCAGGCCAGGGTGCTGCAACGCGCGGGGCGACACGTGGGGTTCGGGTCGGCACCAAGAACTCTGGGCTGGCAGGCTGAGGTTGTGGTCTGCCCTGTCACCGACGCACTGTGGCCTCGAGCCAAGTCCTTCACACCTCTGAGCCTCTTCAGAGACCAAAGGACGGAAACTGAGCTTGGGGGAGCAGCGGAGAGCAGGTTTCCAAAGCAGGCCTAGATACAAGTCCCCGCTCGGCTGCTTAGGAGCTGTGACCTTGGCCAAAGTTTCAACTTCCAGAGCCTCCATTTCTTCATTGATAAATGGGCTGAATGAAAGGTGTGCGTGAGGCTTACCCAAAGGGATGGAAATAAGTGCACAGCATGCCTTTTTTTTTTTTTTCTTGTTAAGTTTATCGGGCCAGACTTCTAAGAAGTGCTTGATAGATACGTGGTAAGTACTTGTGTTATTTGCTAAGTCTTTTTTATTGCAAGGACAGGTGTTTACAGAGGCTGCACGGGCAGAGGACACAGGGCAGATGGTGGACACAAGGAACGTTGCTACAGCCCCTGGAAACCACCCCCTGCAGGAGGGTTTGGATCCAAGGCAGAAACAACAATGTGCAGGGCCAGCACTCTGCAAACGGGTCCCTGTCCTCTCCAGCCACCACCATCCTCCCCACCCCACCCGGGGAAGCCAGATCCGGGAGCGCCTGACCCACTGGGCTGGGCTGCAGAGGGAAAGTCCAGGCAGGAAGAAGGAACCGTCCTACCACACGAGGACAGCTGCTTCTAGGCTTCTGCAGCCCTGCCTTGCCACACTCGAGGCCCAGGTAGACACTGAGGGCTTCTCCAGGCCTGCACCTGCCCTCGGCCCTAGCAGCAGCCCCTCCTCCATGCTGGGCAGAAGCCGGGGCCTCAGATTCTAGAGTCGGCCCAGCATCTTTCTACAGGACAGCTCTGCAGGGCTGGGGTGGGCAGAGAGAGAGTCAGGAGCTGCCTGTATGTCTCCTGGTCCCAGGCAAGGGGCCAAGACCAGAAGAAAACCTGCAGTTCTGGACGCTTGAAGGTCCCTCTCACCCTGGAAAGCAACCGACCCCACGCAACCCGTTGGCAGAGCTCAGCCCCGTGCTGGGCTCGGGGGCCCCAGTCGGAAGCCCCGTGGCACGTGGCTGGGGCCCAGGCATCACATTCACTGCGCTCCCACTTGCGGCTACATCCAACCACTCCCCCATCTGCAGCATAGTGTTACACATACACAAATACATTGGGAATGCGGCTGAGGTCAGGGGTGATTCTGAGGCCGGGGGTGGCCGGCAGCCCACCCAGGGGCCCTCTGAACACTCACACAGCAGTGCTGAGCGCCTCTGGGAAGGGAGCCCCGAAGGACAGAGGGAAACAAAGGACCACAGCCTCCATCCTTTTCTGCCTGCTCTCATCCTTTTCTGGAGGCAACCAGAGGTTTCAGGTCAAGGTTCCAGACCCTGAGAAGGAAGGAGGGCCCAGGGCGGGGGCCGGGGGGAGGGGGGGAGGGAAGGCCCAGATAGCTGCTGCAGGGGGGAAATGTCTCACGACAGGGCAGCTGAGGAGTCAGCATGAGGGAGCAAGTTCTAGAAGTTTTCTGGGGGCCCTCCCCTCACTACCTGATCACCCCCCTCTCCAGAGCCCAGGGTCCATCTCTGGGGGCTCGGGAGCTCAGTGAGGTTCTCGTGCCTGCCTTGATCCCCATCTGCGGACCAGGCCCTCAGCCTCTGGAATGTTCTGTGACACTGATCTGGAGGGTCCCTTTCAGGAGGCTGGAGCTCTCCCTCCCCTGTGGGCTAGAACCATTCTGTATTATTCTAAGGTAGAGTGACTCCTTCCCCCAGACAGAAAGTGTGAACCATTCTGAGAGGGGGAATTCATAACACCACCGGGGCAGCCTCTCTGAGGTGAGACCCAGAGAATGTGCCCAGATAGGGTCCGAGGGGGCCCTCAACGTAGGGCAGATGCCAGGCCAGCATGGGGTAACTACAGAATGACCACAGGTGAGGCTGGAACAGCGAAAGGGGGTCTGACGCCTCTGCTCCTGCTGGGGACTTCCCCCGGATTTGTTACAATTCCAGAAAGGATCAGATTCTTGGTTCTACCCAGAAAACTGGATCCTTAAAGGGCTGGGAGGGTAAAGGGGCCAAACAAATCTGTTTCTGGGGAGTGGGGAGTGAGTCACTGCTTTGGGTAGAGAAGGGGGTGAGGGAGAGAAGGGAAGGCAGCCTAGAAGGCGCAGAGGGCTTCCGCGGCCCTGGTCTCTGCTCCCAGGAAAGAGGGTCCCTGCTGTCCGGGGCTACAGAGGCCATCTTAGCCCACAGTCCCAGCAGGTGATTCTGACTTCCCCTTCCTAAATTCTTCCAGCTATGCTCCCCTCCTAACTCCCTCAACTTGGGCTGGGGAGAGGACGGGGGACTGGCCCCAACTCCTACAACCCCTCTCTTGCAACCCTTGATGAAACCCAGGGCCCACTGGACAGCCGAAGATCTCCCACCCAGCGCAGTGATGCTGAGGGACGGTACAGAGAGTACTCGGTGGAGACAGGAGCAGAGCAAGGTCAGAGCGCCACCTCGGCCCAGGCCCACCCGCTCCCAGCAAAGAGAAAAGATGACCCACAGGGTAATTTCTAGCCCCCCCAATAGCTGGCGCCTCCCAGGCACCCTCTCTGGAATTAGGGGGCAGCTCTGGAGGGTAAGTAAGAGTGTGGAGTGTGACGGGGCGCCTGGGTGGCTCAGTTGTTAAGCGTCTGCCTTCGGCTCGGGTCATGGTCCCGGGGTCCTGGGATCGAGCCCCGCGTCGGGCTCCCTGCTCAGCGGGAAGCCTGCTTCTCCCTCTCCCACTCCCCCTGCTTGTGTTCCCTCCTCTCTTGCTGTCTCTCTCTCTCTGTCAAATAAATATATAAAATCTTTAGGGCGCCTGGGTGGCTCAGTTGGTTAAGCGACTGCCTTCGGCTCAGGTCATGATCTCAGGGTCCTGGAATCGAGTCCCACATGAGGCTCCTTGCTCGGCAGGGAGTCTGCTTCTCCCTCTGACCCTCCGCCCTCTCATGTGCTCTCTCTCTCCTCTCATCCTCTCTCTCAAATAAATAAATAAAATCTTTAAAATAAATAAATAAATAAATAAATAAATAAATAAATAAATAAATAAAAATAAATAAATAAATATATAAAATCTTTAAAAAAAAAAAAAGAGTGTGGAGTGTGGAAGGAACATCACTAGCAGTACTTACATGCCTCTTCCTTTGTGCAGGTAGCTTTCAGAGCACTTCACACATATCAACGTATTTAAAATCACCCTGGCAAATACCACGGCCACGGCCACGGCCCCGGCCCGGAGGTGGCCGCTCAAGAGAGAGCAGCATCGGCTTGTGCCTCGTGTGACAAGCTAGCCCGCACCAGGCCCCGCTCCCCAGGTTCTGCGAAGAAGAAGTCAGCCTGAGCTTGGCTTCCTGGCTGGGTCTCCCTCCAGTGGTGGAAAGCACACCCTCCCCTGAGGAGCCTGTGGGGGTGCCAGCCTGTGGGTGGCCATGAGGTCAGACAAGCTCAGCTGAGCACCTGAACACTGCCTACACCCCCCCCCCCACGCCCAGCCTTCCAGAAGGAGCCCCCTAAGCCAGGCCCTCAGGACCGGGTCTGTGGAACAGGGGAAGCAGCCCCAGTGGATCAGGCCTCCGATGGCCCAGACGGAGCTCACCCCCAAGACTGGCAATGGAGGGGGCAGTTGCCGGCAGACACGTTGGCAACTGTGGGAGGGCCGGAAGGTGCCTGCCGGCAAGGGCCCCCAGGCGGCAGCCCGCGCCCACAGCGGGGCCCGGGGGTCCTGTCGCGTCTGTACCCCACCCTCACCCCAGCCCCAGCCCTTCCCACTGTCCACCACCCCGGCAACTCTGAGGCACAGGGGCCTAGGCCCGAAGGCCTCCACAACGGGGACCTGGTATCCCGGGCACCGCCTGCCTGCAGCTAGCAACTCCCACCTTTGGGCTCTGCTTAGCGACCTTGGAACTCCTGCACACGATGGACCCAGCAAAGCCTGTCACCTCTAGCCAAGCCAGCCCACCGATCTCCTGGACTCGATGGGGGCGGTCGTGCGAGACAGCAGGGCTCAGAGGATGCTGAAGGTGGGGACGCCTCTTGAGCGGGGGCGCAGGGGTGGGGGCTAGAAACTTTCCGGAGAAGAGGACCAGCCGGGTGGCTCACTCCAAGGGAGTGAAGAGCACCGGCTTCCCGCGAAAATGTGGTCCAGAGAAAGGGATCCCCGGGCCGCGGCCGCCCCACCCCGGCCGGCCCCGCGCTGCGCCCACGTGCCGGGCCGACCACCTCCCCCGGCCGCGGCGACGCGGGGCGAGGTGGGGGGAGGACCAGACAGCCGGGCCCCCGCGGCGCTCCCGCCCTCCCCCCGATCGCACGGGGACCGGCCGCCGCGTACTCACCCTCGCGGGTGGAGCGGGGCGGGGCACGACACTTCCGCGCACAGCTCCGATCCGCTAGGCGCACGGGCTGGCGGCGCGGCGCTGGCGCGGCGGCTCCGCTCGGCCGGGTCCCTGTCCCGGGCGCGGGGCCGGCCTGCGAGCGGGCAAGTCCGCCTGCGGGGAGGCGGGGGCCCGGGCCCGGGCGGGGGGCGGGGAAGGGGCCGGACACGCTTGCGCACACGGCCCGGGAGCCGACTCCGGGGAGCGCGCGGGCTGGCGGAGGAAGGGCGGGGAGGCGGAGGAAGGGCTGGGGCGCTGCCGCGCGCGGGCGGGGCTGCCGCCCGCCGGCCTGGGACGCTGTGGGAGCCGTGGAGACCCGGGGCGGGGAGGGGGGGAGGCCGGCGGCGGGGCCGGGGAGCTGGGGCGCGCGGGGCGGGCGCGGAAGGGCGGAAGGGGAGGCCGGATGGGGTGAGGGTAGAGCCCGGGCGGGCGCCGCCTGTGAGTGGCGCCAGGATGGATGTGCCCAGCGCAGCCTCCGCGCACTCTCCTGGGAACAATGAGACCCAACAAAGGGTTCTCGGCTCTCCCACGTGGTGAACCGCGTCCGTTGCTCGGCAAAGTGAGGCACGGGAGGGGGGGGGGGGGGCCTTGTTTCGGGAGCGCACCCCCTCCCCAGGGCCCCGCGGCCAGGTGCGCTGGACCTGGCCCTGGACCTCTCCTCTGCCCTCGTCTGCACCTGCAGCTCCCAGACCGCTCCCTCTGCCGCCCCTCTTCTGCACACCGATTTTGGCCTTGAGAAAGCGTCTCAGTTTCTGTTCCTTACAGAAGGCGCCAGGCACGCTGTCGCCAAGGGAAACCCCATCAGGCTCCTGACCCTACTTCCTTGGGCTCAGACATCCCCATCAAGCCTGGAAACCGCGCAGGCCCAGAACCCGTAGTCCAGAAATTACCCCCCAGGAAACCCCCAGCGCCCGAGGCACTCTCTTTCATAGGTGAGTGGATCTTCCATAGGTGAGCGGTGTTTCCTGAGCCCCTCGTGGGAACAGCCTGGTGCTGGGGGGTCTGGCGGCTCCCAGGAAAGTCTAAGACCTGGTCCCTGTCTCCAGGAAGTTTACCCAGAGAGAAGGCTCACAATGGACTTCTGCTCAAGAATAAGGCAAGACCGGAAGTGACTAAGTGTAAGGTGTTGGTAACCGACGGTAAGTGCGAAGGGGGTTCAGAGAATGAAGATGAAACTGGAGGGCCTGTTTGTTGAGAACAGATACCTCAGGAGGCTGTGCAGGAGCAAAGTGGAGAAGGCTTGGGTGAACAGAGTCAGCCTCCAAGTCCTTCCACAGGTGACTGTTCCGTTCTAAATCACACCTTGCACTGACAGATTCTTTCTGCATCCCACCAATGTCTAACTTAGTTATGTTTGAATGGTGCCGTTGGCTTGGTCCATCAAGCATTCAGTCAACAAAGACTTACTGCATTTAGCTCCAGGCCTAAACTAAGCTTAGCTAGGTAGAAAGAAGCCAGTGACTAAAGCCCGTGCCCTGAGCGAGTCAAGGGGAAAAGGGGGATATCGTCCCTGGTTCACAGGCAGGAAAACTGGCCCAAAGAGAGTCAACAGGTGCCCAAATCACCAAGGTGAGTCTGGCCAAGCTGAACTGAGAATCGACCCAGCTTCTAAACTTTGCTGACCCTTTGATGAACTAGATCTAAACACGGTTTGCAGTTCTTGCCATGAGCCATGTAAACTCTGCCAGAGAACAGAACTGAACAGAACTGAAGGGCCAACTCTCACTCCCGGAGACCTGACTCCCAAATCTACCTCTGTCACTACATTGCTTTAGTTTTCTTACTAGAAAAAAAATGGAAATAACTGTGTTTAGTCAAAGTTACTGTTGGTATTAAATTAGGCAGTGGCCTGAAACTTGGCTCTGAAAGTATAGTGTGCATGTAAGTGTGCATTATCTTATGCAGGTGGCATCCCTTCTTGAGCCTATAGAAGTAGTCAGATCTTGGGGCGCCTGGGTGGCTCAGATGGTTGAGCGTCTGCCTTCGGCTCAGGTCATGATCTCAGGGTCCCGGGATCTAGTCCCGCATCGGGCTCCCTGCTCCTTGGGAGCCTGCTTCTCCCTCTGCCTCTCTCTCTCTCTCTCATGAATAAATAAATAAAATCTTAAAAAAAAAGAAGTAGTCAGATCTCCTCCCCTCCCCGCCCCCCAGGGCTTATCCCAGGTTACTGGGCGCCCAGAAGCTAACTGTACTCTGACTCCTCCCCTCAGGCCCCAGTGTGCTTACTCATGATCTTTCCCCTTCGGTTTCTTAATGGCACAACCAGATGCTTAGCTAGCTGCCTGGAAGCCATATGATCAGTGGGGCAGGAGGGAAGCAATTCTGGGGCCTTTTGGACCCTGGGCGAGGGGTTCTGGAGCCATCTGAGCACCACCCAGCTCCTTGACCCCTTGCAGGACACTGCAGGTTGCTCAGCAAGAGGCAGTGTGATGAAGCCAGCAGGGGTTTGGCTCCTTGGGACTGTTCTCCCCGCCAGCTAGCTGCGCCAGGGACAGGACAAGACGACCTAAGGAGCCGCCGTCTGGGTCCTGGTCCCGTTTGGAGCCGAGCTGCTTCCGTTCCTTTTTCCTCTGCCTCCCTTGACCTCTCTGGTTCTGTCTCCACGGTGGAGGAAGTGGGGCAACCAGACGGGCCTCAGGGCCAGATGCTTGTCGGGGAAGCCGTGGCCCCGGAGGCTCCTCCTTGGCAGGCGGTGGGTAGGAGGCCCGGAGCTGCTCGACAAATGTGCCTCACAGGCTTCTGGCTCCTACCAGAACGCCACACATGTGCCCCGTTAGCATCCTGCCCACCAGGAGGAGGGAACAGCAAGATGCCTTGTGAGGAAGAAATAAACCCAATCCAGCATCTCAGACGCTTTTAAAAATAGCAACTCTGGGAGGGTATTTCAGCTCCTATTTTTATCAGATTTATATGGCCGGACCATAGAGCTGAGCTGTTCCCAGGGTTCTCAATAGCAAGCAGGGGACATCACCGTTGTAGTCTTAGAAACCTGCCGCTAGGCCAAGGCATTCCAGGAACCTTTAAGCTGGAGGAGATCCCAAGAAGTCATTGCGTGCAGCCCTTGCCTCTGCTTGGGGCCACAGTCAATTAACCACAGACAGTTTATGGCTTGCTTTTTGCTTAAGAGTCTCTTGGTTTCTGTGCCTCCACACTGCATAATCTAGCATTTCACAGCCCTTCTAATCAGAAGTTCTTTTTAATATATAGCCCAAATATCTCTGGTTACATCCTTCTCACAGTAGAAATAAAGCTAACGTTTACCCAGTGACGACTATGTCCAAAAAAGGCTCGTCTTTAATCCCCACAAAACCCTTCATGGTGGGCACTCATCATTCCTAATTTGGAAGCAGTTAGGTAACTTGCCCACGATCATACCTGGGGGATGGTGCAGATTCTATGCCAAAGCCACCAGACCACACTGCCTTCCAGACATTTGTCCTTCGCTTGGACTTTCATTTCTTCATCATGGTCCTGAAGGACGAACTGGCCAGTGTTGTCATTGTGCACGTGTGTGTCATGCCAGAAGCTTGGCTCTAGATCCCAGCGTGCTGAGCCATGGTCCCCCGAACTGCCTGGCCTCTGTTTGTCAAACGTAGCCTAGAAATTTGCCTTCTCTTTGCATTTGCCTTCTCACAGCCCCCTCTGCTTTATTTGAAGGCATTCACCACTCTTGTAATTACTTTGTAATTAATGCCTGTGTTCCTCACTAAATCATAAGCTCCATGTGAGCTCTAGCTCCAGATTCTTACTTAAAAAAAAAAAAAAGTCGGGAAGATGTGCAAAACATGGGCGTTGAATTGAAACACTTTAAACGGATTCAGTCCCTGCTTATTTTTTAAGTGGTTAGAACATGGTAACTTCAAGTCTGTGTAGATTTCAGAATCCAGTATCGTTTCACTAATAATAGCACTAGAACAAACACAGGGTTGCCAACATTTATTTTGCTGAGTGAGGATATTTTAAAAACAACTACCACCAATGACTACCATCTTCTTTAAAAAAGGACATTTTAACATCAATATATACATGTTTGGAATGAAGATTTTCGTCCTTTCTGAGAAGGAAGAGTTGGCCGACCTACATTAGTTGATTCAGAGAGAAAAGAGATACACTAAAATGTTTTGGATATGGAAGTATTACAAGAGAAACAATTTCAAATATTACTTTGTATGTAAATGTGTCTCGATTTGTTTCTCAGTTCGGGGCTCTGTGTTCAGCTTACATGTCCCATTTGTTCCGAAATGTTATTTTTCTCCGTGTCATGAAGGAGTGTTGACAAATCCAGGACACTCAGCAATTTCGCTCTGTGAGGAAACTTTTGGGCAAAATGAAAGGAGCCAAGGAACAATAGCAGTCATTCTTCCTTCCTTCTCTAGCCACGCCGAGGAGAGAGTGGGCCAAGTACTGGGGGCCGACAGCCAGTTGTGGACATGTCCAGGATTTTCCCGGGCAGGGTGCTATCTCCCCTGCTCCAGCAGGGCAGGGACACAGGCACGCACGGGGAGGGCACGCAGTCAAACACAGAAGACTTTCTTGGCAACACACGGGACAGATGTATCATGCTGCCAGAGAGGGGCCAGCGTTTGCTAGCTGGTTAAGGTGGGGTCGAGGGCCCCTGGATCTTGCTCAGGAAGCTTTCTCCGGGGAGGCAGGATGTGGGGTTCTTCAAAGTGACATCCAGAGGAAAGCTAGGGCAGGGGCGCCTGGGTGGTGTGGTCAGTTGAGCAGCCGACTCTTGGTTTCCGCTCAGGTCATGATCTCAGGGTCATGAGCTCGAGCCTCGCGCTGGGCTCTGAGCTCAGTGCGGAGTCGGCTTGGGAGTCTCTCTCCCTCTCCCTCTGCCCCTCCCACTCATGCCCTCTCTCTTTCTCATCTCTCTAAAATAAATAAATAAATAAATCTTAAAAAAGAGGAAAGCTAGGGCAGAGAGGGGGTAGGTAGCTCTCACTCTGTATCCCCTGGACTGAGAAGCAGGAGACCTCGATTGAGTGGAGCTCCTTTACTTGAGAGGAAAGCCCTTGCTCGGGAGGTGACCCAGTTGCTGTGACCTGCTCCAGGCCCATGGGGCCTGTGGTGGCGGGAGCTGCACTTGGACCCCTGTGGTCCCTGGGAACACAGACTCCCTAGAACTGACAGGAAGTGGTATGTGGTCAGAAAGCATGGGCCTTCGAGAAGAGGCCCTCTGGCAGTTCAGATGAGGTGTAACAGAGCGACTGACCCCTTGACTCGGCCAGTTCCTCTCTGCAGCTGGAGGCCCCAGGATGCAGGTTAAGACGGGGTTGCCTCGAAGACAGTCTCATGCGGTGGCGAGGGCAAATAGGTGTATGTCACACAGGGACCCAGCAGGATCCATTTCATGCCTCACCACACATCTGACCAGCCGTTCCCTGGAGGAGAAGTAAACACTCGTGGGCAGGGACACTGGCCACTGCGGGGGCCTTTGGGGGCATGAGGCCAAATTCCTGAGGTCGCTTCTCCCAGAGCAGTTTGCAGCCTGCAGGGCTGTTCTCTGGGCCTTAGTGACTCCGGCTTCAGGGGCCACGGGAGAAGTGACCCTCTTCCCCTCTGAAAGCAGAGTTCATCCTGACAGAGGAGTGCCTCCCAGCAGTACAAAAGAGCAAAGCCTTTAGAACCTCTCTCTAGAACAGCTCTTACCTACGGCCTCGTCCTACACTCTCCCAACCCACGGAGCCACACTCCCAGAGGGTACAGGTTGGTGGGTCTTCTTGATCTTCCTGTCCCCAACACCACACTGCAGTGCCGGCCCATGCAAGGTGTTTGGTAGAGACTTGATGGATGGGTGAGTAAGCCTGAGAGGAAGGAGGAGCGATGGGACAGATCACGCTGGGGAGTCAAGTCTGGGGAGGCAGGGAATACCTTGGCAGGGCTTAGTCCCAGCGAAATAGAGACCCTGGTCCCCTGAGAGGCTCCCCAGCGGTCTTTTGGGGTCGGGATTTGCCACGGGCTCATCTTTTCCAAGCATGCACCCGTGTGTGAAGCCAGATGAGAGCCCCACCAGCAGAACCTGATCTGTCAAGGAGAAAAGGATGCTCCCGGGATTGGGTCCCTCTGCTCTGTCTGCAAGGAGGGGCCTCTCTGGGTTGGCATCCCCTCCACTCCTGCTCCCCTCAATTATCTTTGCGACAGTTCTTGTACATGGACAAAACCGGCCAGGGGTTCTCTTAAACTAGCCGCTGCTTCATCTCTTCCTGGTGGGGGGGAAGGCAGCTCCCACCCAGGGCCACCCCTCTCCCTGTAACCAGCCCCCTTTGGCCTCACCCCCGTATTCCACTTAGGCTGTCGCGCGACAGATGCGCAGGTCAGCTATCCCGCCGAGCACTGAGATTCCACAAGCACACTCCGTTGGTCTTCCTAGGGGAACCTTGTACACCAGCCCCTCCCACATACCTGTTTTCAAGGTAGCTTCCCAAGTGCTGCCTCTTTCTACTCCTACGGTTCGCTTGGCTGGCTGCCCCAGTAGCCTGGAGGGGAGGAGCTTTGTTTTCCCAACAGTTAAAGCATGGCCTGGCTTAAAAGGCGATCCTTTACCAGACGTAAGTCAACGTTTACCAGAAAGCAACACTATCACGCGTTACATTTACACAGCAGGACACTTTGTGGATCCTCATCCCCGCTCTCTTTTACAAAGAAACAGGCTCAGGACACGTGGGGTCTGGTCCAAGGTTATGGGGTGAACGTCACCTCCAGGGGGAGAGACTTCGGTTTGTTCACCACTCACCAGTCTCTAGGGCAGTGCCTGGCCTGCAACGTGCATTTGACTCTGAATTGTCTCCTGGCTCTCTCAGTCCAGGAATTGCAGAATACAGGCCATCCCTGCCTTATGCTGCCCTCTTATCACTTAGCAGAACCCAACATCCTGTCCCCCCTGAGAAAGCCTCCCGAGGAAGCACGGTCCAGCGGGGCTGAGGGACTAACGAGCAAATCCCAGCCCCTCTCCGCAGTGTAGTATACCTGTCCCCGTGCTGAAATGAGTGCCTCATGTATCCAAGTGCGTACCCTCACGTGTGCACCCTGACGTCACCCTTCCCAGATTAAGTCCCCGAAGGCTCCCTAAGGCCACCAGCCTAAGACACTCTTAAGTCCCTTCCTGGCCTCCGGATTCTACGAACAGGGACCTGTGTCGCCGGTCACACCTCGAATCCGAGCCCCTCGGAGCTCTTGTCCTCCACCACGACCGTATCATTTTGCCCTTGATGGGCTGTTTTGTGTTTGGCCTTCTGGCTGTTCTATGAGCTTGTTTTGTCTTCCTCCCTAGATAACAAACTCAAGGCCAGGGGCTCGCTGACCAAATAACAGAGGCAAAGGCAAGCTTTTTTGAGCTTGCATCATCTGATTCTTATTAAAACCCTCCCATTTCCAGGCAGCAATCCTTTATCCTTGTCAACAAGAAGTTTATCAGCGGGGCTGACTTACAGGCTGAAGGTGTGATCTCAGTTCTGGGGAGGGGAAGAGGAAGCACTGTCAAAAACACTCTGTAGATTATTTCCAGAACGTTTTTGTATTTGGTTTTTGTGGGGAACTCCCAGACACATGGGCCTTGAACACCAGGAGGAAGATAGAGCAAATGGGAAGAAGGAAGGGGGAGGTGAGAGCAGAGCAGGAAGGACCGAAGACAGGGAAAGGCACCGTCAGATTCGGGACACAGAAATCACCAAGGATGGTGTTTACTGGGATTTGGAGAAAGCCCTTGGCACACATCCGGGTCAGCTGAAGCCAGCACCCCAGACTTGGCTCCTGTACCAGGATCTTCCTACCCTGTTCTGCCGGCACCACCTGCCTCCCCAGTCATCAGTCCACACCAAAGGGGACTAATACTTTATTCACATACTAGGAATAAGCCAGTACAAAATACATTTTTTAAAAAATTCACTTGGTGCTAAAAATCCCGAAGTCTCTCCCCAGCCCCCCGACCCCACACATCTGTGTTCTTCGCCGGACAGCCCCCGGGCCGGACTCAGCTCCTCTGGGCCTCCTGCAAGAGCTCGAGCAGAGCGTCATCGGCCCTGAGGGCGAAGGTGAGCGTGCGCTGCTGGTAGTGGGCCGGGTCACGCTCCAGGTTCTCGATCACACCCGCCAACAGATGAGCCCGCTCCACCCCGGAGCCGGGGGCCTCGAAGCCCAGGGCCGTGAAGTGCACGTGCAGGTGGTAGTAGGACGGCAGGTAGTGCAGGTACACGCGGAGACGGTCTCCGCTCACCTGGTAGCGCTGCAGGATGGCTTCCTGATGAGAAGGGGGGGGTGGCAGGAAAGGGGTCACTGTGCCGCCCACGGGCCCTCCTCTGGCCCTAATCCCCGGCTGGCCTCTGGACGGCTGACAAAAGCCCTCCAGACAGCCCTCGCCACAGTTCGCTGCAGGTCCCTGTCTTCCATTCTAGGGACTCAACACAAGCAGGTGACAGTAGCAAACAGGGGCTTTTCTCCCAAGTGAAGGGAACTGGGGCCTCCGTTAAGGTTCCACACTCCAACCTCGATAAAACACTGAAGCTCCCCAAACAGTCGCTGCTGGGAATCTAGAAGTCCCAGTGTCTAAGGACAGGCCCCAGATGTCTAAGACTATGGGGACTGTCCTCCCCCTGGATGACTGATGCCGACTTAAGTCACTGAGTAGGTGGGAAGGGGGCCTGTATCCCCTCTTAGCATGGAACAGAGTGGAGCTGGGGAACAAGGGTGACAGGGATGGGGCCGAGCTGAGGCCTGGTGGAAGACAGAGCATGGGGGAGGGCACATGGGAAGAGCTGCCCCTAGAAGACCCAGGGAAGATCTCACTAGACTCCCGGTAGAAGAGGAAAGCATTAACTTTGACCCCGGCTCCCTCTGCCCACCCCCCACCTTGCTCAGGGGTAGGGCTGTTTCTACCAAACTCCCGTTCTGGAGCCTCCAAGGCTTGGCATTAACAGGAGACTCTGATTTCCACTGTGGGCGAATTCCTGAGGAGGTCAGAGGTGAGGAGAAAAAGACGAGGGCCTCAGTGGGCTCAGAATACACCCCACAATTACATCAGTATGGCTGGCCTGTCTGGGCGAGGCTGCCTGAGCTGCCAGAGCAGGTGGAAGTGTAGGCCCAGCATCTCCCTGAGAGAGACACCACTCTGCCATCCAGAGGCTGTTGCAGGAGAGAAACGAATTACTCCACTCAGAGACGGGTGGCCAGAGAGGCAGCGATGTGGGCCGGCAGGAGGGAGAAGGCCAGGTAGGGCGCAGTGGCGGGGCAGCTGGGGTCCAGAGGTAGCAAGGAGCGGATCCAGGAAAGCCCTTCCCCCCAGGCCTGCGGCAAAGCCACCGAGAGCAGCTCTCCTGGCCGGGCACCCTGGTGCCTGCTGGGCCCTGGCTCAGGGCAGCATCTTTGAATTCTGAGTGGAAAAAAGACTGGGAACCACCCCACAGAATGGGATTTAGCAGCATCCCATCCACATACCGAGGCCCAGGCAGGTGAGATGATGAGTCCTGCCCAGGGTCACTCAGGTGGTGAGGGTCAGAATGCCAGAACCAAAACCACGAGCCCAGATTCTAGACCCTCTTCCCTTGCCTCCAGGGCTCCTCTAATTTCATGTGATCCAGCAGATATCCCTGTACAAAGTACCCCAGAACGCCAGGTGCTATAGAACTCAGGCTCTGGCCTCAAGGCAGAGGAGGAGGTACAATGTGCACACATCGGAGCTGGGGACCCATCTGCCCAAGAAATGCATCTGCCACGATGTGGCTGTCATGAGCAGACACAGGGGATCCTGGGAGAAGAGGGGGGTCTCAGAAGAGACCTGCAGGAGAAAAGGCAGGGAGGCAAAAGCGGGAACCCAGGCAGAGGAAAGGCGGCTTAAAGCAGAGCTGGAGGGGAAGGGCAGGACCAGGAGTCCATGTGAAGAGCCCTCGTGGGGTCCTGGGACGGGCAGCCAGAGAGAAGCCCCGTTCACAGATGGACTTCCAGGAAGGGTGAAGAAGTGGCCAGGGAACACACCGGAATAAGAACAGAATTCCTCTGGGCTTCGGTGTGGATTTGGCCAAGGCAACTCACCTGGCCCTCCCGGAGGATGTTCCTGAGCAGCGGCAGGTGCTCTGGAGTGAGGTCCCGAAGCGATCGGATGCCCCGGCGATGGCAGATTGCAATCAGGTACAGGTCATCGAGCTGCGCAGAGATCGGCAGGGGTCAACCAGGCTCAGCGGCGGACAGCGCCAGGGGAGGCTGCCAATCCTAGAATCCCTCATAGAAGCCAGGAACCGCCTGGCCCCAGGCCTGCTTCAGTGCCAGCCACAGGCGATCCCGGGGAGCCCCCGGCAATGGGAGCTTCCACATGCCTGGGATGCGTGGGACAACCTAAGGACAGAACTTCTGTTTGTTCTTGCTACTCAAGAACACCATATGGGGGGGCGCCTGGGTGGCTCAGGTGTTAAGCATCTGCCTTCGGCTCAGGTCATGATTCCAGGGTCCTGGGATTGAGCCCCACATCGGGCTCCCTGCTCCGCGGGAAGCCTGCTTCTCCCTCTCCCACTCCCCCTGCTTATGTTCCCTCTCTTGCTGTGTCTCTATCGAATAAATAAATAAAATCTTTAAAAAAATAAAATTAAAAAAAAGAATATCATATGGGAGTATTTATATACTCACAGAGCTGATGGAGGGGGGATGGGAGAAGGTTCAAGAAAGTGCCAAGGACAACTCTTTCCCTCCAAGAGTTTATGGGCTAACAGCATGTACATAAGTAGCTACTACAAGACATAAAGTGATAAAAGTACAGGAAAAAAAAGGAAAGACTATCTAGCTAGGTTGATCCAGACAGGGAGGCAGGGGATCTGGGTCTTAAAGAAGAGGTAGCGTTTAGAGAAAGGTCATGCCAGTAGAAGGAACAGTGAAAGCAAAGGCCCAGAGGCAAGGAAGTATAGAACATGAAGGGGAGAGTAAGCCACTTGATTTGTCTGGAGTCCAGTTGCAGGGGAAGGGGTGTAGAAGGATTTGAAGGGCGAAAAGGGACCCTGGGGCCAGCTCAGCAATGAGCACCGCCAGAGTGCCAGACCTTTTTCTCTCTTCCCCTATCACATAGGGCTCACAGAGCACCCTTCCTGCTGTCCTTCCTAAAAACAGTGCCTGGCTGAAAACCTGGAGGTTCTAACAGCATAAAGAACCAAAGTCAACAAGGTCTTGTGCCAGAAGGCAAATGAACCCTTCCTCTGCACAGAAAACCTTCCCGCCCCTCCCAAGCACTCGAGCCCTGGCTGATGATCACATCCATGTGCAAGGCAGCCCTGGGCCGCCAGGGCTCCACGGGGCAAGGCCTGGTGGAGGGGAGGGGATGAAGGGGGAGGGGAGGCTTGCAGCACTCAGCCAAGCTGCTACATTCCTCAAGGACATAATCCGGGGACCATGAGTCACCCAACAGAATCCTCCAGGGCCCCGGTTTGAAAACCGAGGAGGTTTCCCATATGGTGCCTGTTGGTCCAACTGTGGACAAGACAGTCTCTTCAGGCCACAGACATTCCTCTCTAACAGTCGGGGCCTCTCTTCCTCACACCTGCTACAGATGAGCCCCGTGGGAAGCTCCCAGCAAATGGCTAAGCTGTGCCTGCCGAAGCCGCGGTTTGCCCACAAGCCCCTTCTAGACTCTCCCTCCGTAGGGCCTGTGCCCAGGACTCTCTCTCTCTCTCTAGGAGCCCCAGGAGAAGCAGGAAACAAAAGTGCTTGAACTTGGGGTGTCTGCGTGCCCGTCGGTATCTTCAGCTGTTGTTATGTGTCACTGTCCCAGACCTCAGATAATAGTAGCATTTGTTTTAGATGATGGCTGCTGACCAATCACAAGCATGACATTAAATCACACCTCTCCGCTCCACAGGCAAGGAATGAGGCACGAAGCCGGCTGCCGGGCGTCCGTCACAGGCTGCGTGAGGGAGGGAAACCCATTCTTTGACAGCAGACATGACCCCAGATTTTCTGCAGGCAGTTCAAGCCCCACCCCACCCCCCAACCTGCCCCCTGGGCCCAGAGAAAGGGTCTGAAGCAAGCTAGACAGGGTCTCAGGCTGGTATCCCAGAAGGTGGCCCGCCGATCACTCCGGGCAGGCTAGACACCATCCATCTCTTTTTACGAGGCAGGACAGCAGACTCGAAGTAAGGGCTTCCTGGCAAGGGGCAAGATGGAGAGTGGCTGGAGCCTTGGGGAGCCATCTCTCCCCCTCTGGAGTGAGCCAAAGGAAGAGTTTCTTGGTCTGGGCACTTTAGATCCAAGAACCCACCTGAGATGAACTGAAAGTACACACTGTGTCCACAGAGACAGATACAAATACACTTACCTACACAATATGCAAAGACTATACCTGGGAGGAGAGACAAAGAAATCCTCTCTCCTGAGAAACAGTCCCTTCAGGGGGAGGGAAATGGAGGAATGGGGGCTGAGGGAAGGACTTCTACGGAGCTCTTTGTACTACCTGCATTTTTACTGGGTGTCTGTGAGGAGGGCGCAGAAGACAAGCTGAGGACAAAGCACAAGCTGACACCCCACAAGGCCCCGCTCCCTTGTCCCCAGGTGGGACATGTGTGACATTCCTCAGGCACTCCCTGCTGCCCTAAAGCCAAGGGAAGGAAAGACAAATGGTTCACTTAGAGAGATTACACTCCTGGGGGACAGGAGTCTCCCTCAGTTTACAAATGTCTTAGTGATATATAAGAAAAAAGGATTCTTATCAATAACCGAACTTCCAGAAGGAAACTCCCAACTGTCTTAATGTTAATGCTTGGCTAGAGGGGAAAACAACCTTAACCTGACAATGGCAAGGCCTCCAATACCTTGTAGGTCCTCTTTTGCATAGGAAGGTTCTTTAGAAAACCTCCCTTTTTCCTTAC